AGCCCCCGACAGGCCAGCGGTCAACTATGCCCCCATCAGCACATCTGTCCCTTTTTCTCGATGGGGGATAGACCTTGTGGGCCCTCTGCCGAGGGGTACCTCCAATAACAGGTACATCATTGTGGTCGTCGACTACTTTACCAAGTGGGTGGAGGTTGAGCCCCTCGCCAGTATCACAGAGGCGAAGTGCCGTCATTTTGTCCTCAAGAACATCCTCACAAGGTTTGGCGTCCCTCAGCAAATTATCTCCGACAATGGGATACAGTTTGAGGCAGCCCCCTTCTGTGCCCTTCTGGAAGCATGGGGCATCAAACACACCTTCTCCTCCGTTGCATACCCTCAAGGCAACGGGCAAGTAGAGAATGCCAACCGGACCTTGCTCGAGGGCCTCAAAAAGAAGCTAGAGGCTGAGGGCGGTGGATGGGTGGAAGAACTCCACAACATCCTGTGGGCCTACCGCACCACCCCTCGGCGAGCAACAGGTGAAACACCCTTCTCCCTCTGCTACGGTTTTGAAGCCAAAGCTCCTACGGAAGTCACCCTTCCCACCCAAAGGGTGATTCAATACGACCCCGAGGTCAACGACAGCAACATGGCCCTCGACCTCCACCTCATTTCAGAATGCCGGGAGCAGGCCTTCATCCGGGCAGAAAATTACCGAAGGCAAGTCAAAAGCTACATCAACGCCAAAGTTCGCACCAGAGAATTCCAAGTGGGGGACTATGTCCTCCGGAGGAGGGAAGCCAGCCAACCAACCGAGGGAGGAAAAATGGCACCAAAATTCGAAGGCCCCTACATCATAGCAGCCATCATCAAACCTGGGACCTACAAGCTCAAACGCCCCAACGGGAAAGAAGTCCCTAGGCACTGGAATGTACACCACTTAGTTAAATTTTATCAATAATGTAAGAGCGGCCAAGCCCTCATAACTAGTGAATGTACTATCCTATGGCCCAAGGCCTCCAGTTTCGAAGAATGAAGATACATTCAAGACATCAAGCCCTCATACTGACTACAGGCCCCCGGCCTCACCACGAGAAGAACCCCCTCCGGCACCAAGTGCCGAGGGCGGACACCATCAACACCTACAACAACAATGAAAACACCACGTGTTTTCAGTCAGGACCCCTCGGTACCAAGTACCGAGGGAGGGAACCCCTATCACCAACAACAAGGAATGCCATGTGTTTCATTTCCCTTCGGCACCCAGTGCCGAGGGTACATCCCCACCTTCAACATCAAAAAAGAAAAGATGAGAACACCTCCATCATCAAATGTTTCAAGGAAGACCCCTCGGCACCCAGTGCCAAGGATATGCTCTCCTATCAACTTCCAAACATCTGTTCGGAAACACCAAGTGTTTAATTTGAAGACCCTTCGATACCAAGTACCGAGGGTAGACGCCTACATCAACTACAACAAAAGAGAACACCAAGTGTTCCTACAGAAGACCCCTCGGCACCAAATACCGGGGGCTACACATCGAAACTAACACCAAGTGTTGTTTCTAAAAGGCGTACCCCACGAGGACGCATATACCGAAGGCGCCACCATCGGTGCCGGCGGCACGTAGTGCCCCCGGCCATTTGCAACTAGTGTGCAAATGAAAACCCTTCCTTGAAACGCTTTCCGCGTCACTACCCCTAGGGTATGACAGGCATGAGAAATGCCCAGGATTCGACTTTCAAAAACGGAACGCTATCCGCGTCATCACCCCAAGGGTATGACAGGCACGAGAAATGCCCAGGATTCGACTTCCAAACCGAAACGCTCCCCGCGCCACCACCCCAAGGGTGTGGCAGGCCACGGACTATGTCTAGCGCCGAGGGGACGACTTTCAAAAATGAGGCGCTTTCCGCGCCATCCCCCAAGGGGAGGCAGGTTACGGACCACCATATCTTGTGCCCAGGAAACGACCCTCGATCCCCTCGGAACTCGGAAGGTTAACCCAAGGGAGGAGAGCCATTGGTGTATTCTTATGGTCTCCTAATAGACCCAGCCTTACCAAGAAACCAAGTTTCTTGATGCCTTCCCTTCACCAACAACCAAAAAAAAACGGGGGGGGGGGGGGGGGGGGGGGGGTGAAGGGGAGTAGACTCAGCGAGAAATCAAAGAGTACACTCCAACATATGACAACATCCCGAGGGCTCCCCACGGGGACACCTCCGGTAATTGAAGGCTCCTATTTCCCGAAGGATACTACTCAAACAAATATCATCAAGAAACGGCTAAGTCCACTGCCTGGTCACCTCCGGTCACATAAGCACCGAAGGCTTCAACAAGGGTCAAATTCTACAACTTTTAAAGTGTATGCCGAGGGCACACACTCCTCATTGGCCTTCTTCACAACAACAGGATTCAACATCAATTTACGCAAAGTAATGTAGAGTCAGAGGGCACCTATCACCCGAAGGCTACACAAGGAAGCAGCACTTGAAAAAATTCTAAGTCCTAAAGATTGGGCCCCCGGCCCAATCAATATTACAGCCAAGGGAATATGGTAGCCGAAGGCCAGGCAATACAATAACACTTAAAAAAAATATTCTGTCCTAAATGAGCAGCCCCCGGGCATCTCGCAAAGTGATGTGGAATCAGAAGGGATGCCATCTCCCGAAGGCTCCCAAGGGAAAATCTACACTTAGAATATTTTCTAAGTCCTACATATTTTCCCCCCGGTCAACTACTCTTACATCAAGAAGGGATGCCATCTCCCGAAGGCTCCCAAGGGGAAATCTACACTTAGAATATTTTCTAAGTCCTACATGTTTTCCCCCCGGTCAACTACTCATACATCAAGAAGGGATGCCATCTCCCGAAGGCTCCCAAGGGAAAATCTACACTTAGAATATTTTCTAAGTCCTACATGTTTTTCCCCGGTCAACTACTCATACCTCAAGAAGGGATGCCAGCTCCCGAAGGCTCCTAAGGGAAAAACTGCACTTAGAAATCTTTCTAAGTCCTACATATTTCACCCTCATTTCAAGGGACCTAACAGCCGAAGGCTACCTATCAATCGGAGGCTACAGCACACAAGGAATCAACACTCAAGAAAATTTTCTAAGTCCTAAAGAATTGGCCCCCGGCCTATTCAATATTTCAGTTGGGGCTCCACAGTAGCCGAAGGCTACGTGACATACTACACTTGCAAAAACTTTCTAAGTCCTGTACATTGGGCCCTCGGTCCAATATTCACACATCATAAAGGGATGCCATCTCCCGAAGGCTCCCAAGGGAAAATCTACACTTAGAAATTTTTCTAAGTCCTAGGGCCCGTGCATCCATCTGTTTGGAGCTGCTTATGGGCCCGTGCATCCATCTGTTATTGGATTAATCGCCGGTCGTCCATCATTGTTATTTCAAGCTACCGTACCGGAGTTGTTGCCGGTCGTCCCAAGAGTCGCTAGAGCTCCCGATTTTTGGCTGGTTGGACCCTACCATTTTGAACGGTATGGTGTAAGGGTAACTTTTTTTATGGATAAAGGCTTAAATTGATATGAGTTAAAAAGACAAAAAGACCCTGACAACTGTCGAACCTCAAATCAGAGTCAGGGTTAATAACCTCCAGAGAAGCAATATAACTCGCTGATCCATGATTGGGAGCAAATGAGCCAAAGACGGTTAAAGCAGACCTCTCGTCACCCAAATCGAAACTCACAGTCTTACAACACAAAAAAACAAAACTGAAAGTAAACCGAGTACTTAAAAACATGAAAAAACAACGCAGCAAAAAAATAAAAATCCTTCTCCGTCTTCCGAAGCACCACCACCGTTCGCGTACTCAAGCGTGCTAACTGCTTTTGATGCTTCGGCAGGCTGAAAAATCGAAGCCCGCCTACTCCCCGTTTTTTGGCTTGTCCAAAGCCATGTTATCACTGAGTGGTTTTTCCTGTTCGTGTGCTTCCCAAATCCTTCTTCGCTTTTGTTCCCCTAACATATCCTCAGTGTTTCCAAACTCCCCATATTTAGTCGTGTTATTTCCCGTCCCCGTCATGGACTCCCTCCACCTCCCATCTTGGTATCCTCCTTGTGTGGAAGACCAAGACCTGAGCTAGAAGCCCCTTCCACGAGCCACTTGTTTCCTCCTGTAGGACTAGTCTTCGCCCTCCACTAACTTTCATATTTACTCCATAAGTTTTTTCCAATACCAGGTTATCTTCATGTGTCAATGTGCAAAACTTATCGAAATGACCAATAATTCCACAGATGAAACAAAAATTGGACAACTTTTCATATTTAAATTCTACCCAGTGACCAATACCTCCTTTCTTAAGAGTTGTTCCTTTTTCCAGGGGTTTACCCATATCCATACAGACCTTAACACACAAGTAAGCTTCCCACTTTTTGTCAAATTGGTTCTCATCATAGCTAATAAATTTGCCAATAAAATTGCCAAATTCTTTGATAGACACACCTTTTCCCGATCTCCACAACGAAGCTAAAAAGTCCTTGAAAATCTGGAATTTGATCTTCCTATCAGTCAACAGTGTGCCAACGACTGAAAAAGACGGTCACTCCTCTTCCACAGTTCCACTGCCAGTTCACCAAACCCGTCTTCATATAGATTCAATTCCTCAGAATCCCCTATCGCCATATTCTTAGATTGACTAACAATGGATTCAATAAAAATCACACTGTTGCTAGACTGAAACAGAACATACCACCCCGCTTCACCAACTCCGCGCATGTCGCACTGAAACGGGCCAAGATCCAGACCGATACGGAAATCCCGATGGGTTGCTCCTTGAAACCTCTCGCAACCCCTCACCTTCAAACCAAACGCCTACGCAACATCCGAACCCATTCTTAGCGTACAATCGCCTCGAGCGACCGCTCCTCAACGAAGAACGATAGCGGAGAGTAAACCCTAGCGGTGGTGAACCACCCTAGAGAGAGAAGTACATCACTCCAATAACTCCGTAAAAAATAAAGTTTGGTGCAAGGGTAACTTAGAAATTTGAATAAATTTAATTTGTTTATATTTAATTTAATGACCGTAAATAGCAATTTGGAAGCTACGTTTCCTTTCGTTTTGGAAATCACCGTTCCGGTGCTTCGACTGCATCTATCTGGGTCTGACGCGCGCTCGCTATTGGCAAGGCAACTCTAGATTTCTTCACGAACGATTTTTCAGACAGAAAGAATAACGTTTCCTGAAAGTTTTGCTTCTTGTCGGTTGTCATTTGATTTCTCAATCGAGTATCCTGTTCTTTTCCCATCTGCGATTCTTTTTTTTTGTCTACAGAAACCAAACCCGAAATCGCCATCCCGAATTCGCCCATTTACTGCTTACCACTCCTGCACTCCATAACAAGTTCCGATAATGGATGACGTGAAAGATAAATTCAAAGGATTCATGAAAAAAGTCAACAATCAGATCTCTTCCTCTTCTTCTGGCAAATTCAAGGGCCATGGCAGAGTTTTGGGATCAGCTGCTTCCGGATCAGCCACTAATTCAACAATTCCAATTTACTCGAATTCCAGGCCGATCCGACCCGCAAATTCCACTCCCGTCCCTCAGCAGTCTAAGACTCGGGAGCAAAAGCTCGATTATAAACCGGAAGTTCAGGTTAACCCTGAACATAATCTCCCTCAAAGTCCCGATATTCCTGCGGCGGGAAAGGGAAATGGATTCGATCCGTACGGTTCTTTGATCACCTCTGCTAAGAGAAACACTAATGGTTATGATCTGAATGTGTTTGAGTGCCCTGTTTGTGGAGGAGGATATGGTTCAGAGGAAGAGGTTTCGGCTCACGTGGATACCTGTTTGAGCTCCCAAATGACCAAATCTTCAACCCTTTCCATAAATTCCCAGAGTAATCGTGAGACGGAAAAAAGTCAGCTGGAAGTGCTTGTCACTGCTTATCTTTCTGGGAGCCCAAAAGGTTCTTTAGAAGTCATACTTAGGCTTTTGAGCAATATCCTAAAGGAACCCGAGAATGCAAAGTATAGGAAGATTAGAATGGGGAATCCGAAGATAAAGGAGGCAATCAGTGATGTGGCTGGAGGCGTGGAGCTATTGGAGTTTGTGGGGTTTGAATTGGCAGATGTGGATGGGGAAGTGTGGGCTGTTATGGACGCTCCACCATCAGAAGAAAAGATTGTTTTGCTTAAGAAGACACTCTCTTTACTGGACCCCACCGCGGTACAGAAAGAAGAGAATGTTCCCCTAGAAAGGGATCTTGCTAAGGAAGAGGAACCAGCTAAACCAAAGAAGATTGATAGACAGGTATATAAACGTATTTTTGTATGCATTGGTACTCGCAAAGTTAATATGCTTTTGTATGATATCTGCATTTGCCTGTCTTGATTATTTTTCTCTGTTATAAAGTTGAATGTTGGAAGAGGTTTGTAATAGAAGATTATGAGTCCTTTTAATAGGCCTAAATGGATTAAGTGGCTGAATTTGCTATAATTGTCAGAATTATCTAAAATATTTGTTTAGAATATATGTTTTAAATAAATCAAATAAAATAATATCTAAGTAGGATGGGGTTCCATTTCATTCATCTTCGCCTTTTCATTAATGTATTGTAGCAAGCTTGAAGCATATTCAGCTGTAGCTGGGTTGAGAAAGTGTTAAGGTACATAAAGTAGTACTATATACTCCATAATATACTAATCATAGTACTAGTAGTACTCCCTCCGCCCCACTATAATTGTCTCATTTTTTCGTTTCCGTCCGTCTCATTAAATTTGTCACATACAAATATAGCATATTTGTTAATATTTGTGTGACTCTAATTCATTCTTACTTTATCACTTTATCGATTCATTATCAATCACATAACTCTAATTTCTTAAAAACCATCCCACTCTTCTTTGTCCCAATGTTAGGGGGACGGTGGTAGTACTATATAGTCTTCTTTGTGTTTTAGGTTTAAGGTTTAGGTTTCCTTTTCCTAATGGGTTTAGTCCCATTAGTTACCTATACAAAAATAAGCATTAAGCATGGTTTAGCATTTAGAAGTCATGAATTTTATGTTAAATAGTTAATCGGTAAAATAGTACACCTTCCGTCCCATTTTGGTTGTTTTACTTTCCCTTTTGGGTTGTCTTAAAATGAATGTTCTATTTCTTTTTTTGGCAAGAAATATCAAATATGTGGTCCTTATTATTTTCACTTTATTTTATTCAAATCTCAACCGCAACTTTTACTTTTTAACAACTTTATTAATAATCTTGCTAGACTAAAACAAGACATCCAATATGGGATGGAGGTAGTAATTTTTAGTCATACATGATCTATTTCATTTTTTCATTTCTACACAGCATAGTAAAATAAGTTAGCGTGTACCAAATGGTCACTATACATTTCTTAATATTTTGTTGGTGAATGAAGTTCTTCCTTTTGTTAGACAGGAGTATATCAGTAAGTTAGGTTATCATTTCATCTCCATTCCTGTTCCGTAAATATAATATAATCCACTTTCCATGTGAAGGAAGAATAAGAAAAGGGAATAGGATCATACTTTCTTGATGAAGAAAAAATTTAAGGACCAATTGACCACTTACCTTTTGTTTTCCCTTCAAGTGGTACTTAATTTTGAAAATTCAGGGAGGATATTTTGAATAAGGCTTGGATGTTGTTGTTGTTGTTGTTGTTCTTGTTGTTGTAGGGAGGATATTCTCAATATACAACAACATATAGCATAAGACCCATATTGATGGGGTTAGGTTTGTGAACCTATAGATAATCTCATGGGATGTCCATCTTCACTGCTATTTGTTGTTCCTAACTAAGTACGCATTTGCCTCTCTTCACCTCATAAGGCTTTGTTTGCATTAGATAAGAAAGTGAGAATAGAAATAGAGGAGAGAGAGGGAGTTGATGTTTTTTGATACAACAGAAGTGCTCTAACTGTTAATTTGTTTCAGTTAAATATGATTAACAAAAAAAGGAAAGGAATAATGTATAGAGTTCTTGTCAATTTCGATCCCCTGACTATTGTGTCAGTCATACTTTCAGTACTCGACTTTTAATTTTTTAATTTTTAGTCCTCGAATATTGTGCAAGAGACACTTTTAGTCCTCAACTTCAAAGTTTCCCACATTTAGCCCCTGAGTATTACTACCTCCGTCCCACTAAGATTGGGACAAGAGAATGTGGCACGATTATTAAGAAAAGTGGGTTTGTGTGGTTGATATTAAATTTATAAAGTAAGAATAAAGTAAAAATCATTTAGAGCCACACAAACTTTACCAAATTTGATACGAGACAATCTTAGTGGGATTTCCTGAAAAAGGTAAAATAGGACAATCTTAGAGGGACGGAGGGAGTATTAAATTGACACTTTTAGTCCTTCCACTATGATTTTGACACAATAAGTGGAGGACTAAAGATGTCACTATTATAATAGTTGAAGGGTCAAAAGTGTCACTATTATGAATGTTGAAGGTCTAAATATGGAAATTTTCAAAGATGGGTACCAAAAGTGTCTTTGGCACAATAGTCGAAGGACTAAAAGTGGAAAGAATCAAAGTCGAGTCCAAAAGTATCAGAGACATAGTAGTCGTAGGACTAAAACTGATAAAAACTCAATGTATAAATAAAGACTTGTGTTCTATCCCTTCCAAAATTCTTCGGTCTCTTCCCTTTTTTCCGTGCACCAAACATGAAAATTAGCTAATGCATTGAAGTGTGACATTATCCAAGTGTTAAAATTTGACCATTGCTGTGTTCCCGTGACACGGTCCCAAACCCGGGCTCATAACAAAGTCCTTTATTTTTTAAGTTATAGCTTAATTTTTTCTGTTATCATCCACTAGATTCGGGTGTTCTTTGCCGTTCCTGAAAGTGTAGCAGCTAAAATTGAGCTGCCAGATTCTTTCTTTAACCTGTCCCATGAGGAATTGAAAAGAGAATCAGAAACAAGGAAGAAAAAGATTGAAGAATCCCAACTTTTGATTCCTAAATCATACAAGGAAAAGATGGCAAAAGCTGGAAAGAAGAGGTATTCAAAAACTGTAATCCGGATTCAATTCCCAGATGGAGTGGTACTTCAAGGGGTATTTTTACCATCAGAGCCAACTTCTTGCCTTTACCAGGTCAGTTCATTTAAGATCGACTAGGCTCATCAATGTGCAATCTATGCACGTTTATCCCGGTCATTTGAAAACAAAATGTTACTCTCTTTGTTTCTATTTAAAGTTTATGTATCCTTTTTTGGACGTCCCTAAATAAAGTTCTTTTTCCTTATTCGGTAAAGAAAATGCTACAAGTTTAAACAGTATTAAACAGTATCTCAGTAAAAGGGCATTAAAATAAGTCAAAAAAGAAGAAAAAATTCTGTAAACTTCATGAATTCTTTAGAGTTGGTTGATAGGATTTGTTTTCGGCCGTTTGTTCCACCAAAGATATTAAAAAAAAGTGAAATTATGTGATTTATATTGAAATGGTAAAATGTGAAATGGTAATTTACTTTGCCATACATCATACATAAACAGTTTGTGAGCACGGCTTTGAAGGATCCGAGCTTGGAGTTTGAGCTTCTACACCCTGTGCTTATTAAAAGACGGGTAATACCATGTTTCCCAGCAGTAGGAGAAAAAGCTAGAACGCTGGAGGACGAGGATTTGGTACCATCGGCTCTGATAAAGTGCAAGCCCATTGAGACCGATTCCGTTGTGTTCACAGGTCTCTCTAATGAACTACTAGAGATGAGTGAACCTCTTGTGAATAATTATAATGCTGTGGTAGGAACATAGTAGTTTGTCTATATGAATTGTTTATTACACAAGGATCATATATATATTTGGTAATAATATGTCCTTTTATGCGTATTTGTATTGTTGTTACTTTTTTGTTTGTTTCAATACACAGCATTTGATGGGTTTATCATAAATTTGAATGTACAGTTTCCATCTGTTTTGCAAGTTAATTTGCAAGAAGAAACCATTTTGGTATCGATTAGGGCAGAAATTGCAATAAATCATATGTTAACACAGAAAATTCATAATCAAATGTAACTTTTTGCTTAGTTTTAGATTTCCTTTTATTATTATTGACGCTGTATATAATAGAAATAAATAATTGTGATACCTGATCTTAGAACATACATACAATGAGTAATTAAACTACTCTTAGAAACCTATCATGACAAGCCACACAAAGAAATCCCTCGCTACCTGGAACCCTACACTGTTGTTGCTCTGCATGTTCATGACAGTAAGGCCTATTGCAGAAGCTGCACTTGGGAAGTTTCATCCAGCAACCCAAACACAAATCATCCAGGCAAGCTGCTTCTGGACGATCCTCATCATCCTTCACACACACCCCACACTCTTCACACCGCTTAATGCAAATGATGCACCCCCTACAACTGAGCATAGTAATTATGTTACAGGAACCATCCTAATAGATCAATAATTACGAATAGAACAAGCAGAGCTTTCATATGTTAGTTTGTGATGTAATATTTTTTTTGCAACCGGATATCTCAGACATGCTATGTAAGATGATGACATATTAGAAATTTAGAAGAAAACAGGAAAGATCCCACATCAGAAAATTAAAGGGATAATGATAGGTTAACAAAATATTGAGTTCAGCTAGCTAATAGCTAGATTGAATACTGTCTGTCAGTGTGGTTTGTAGCCCAAATACACTATGGCCTAGTTGAGTGGTTCCAATGAAACCTGAATTCTATTAATAACAACCAGTCAACCACAAAGAAGTTTGAATAATCGTTTTTAGGCTTAGGATGTTTTTACTTGGACTGTAATTTGTTGGTCTGGTCTGAACTGGTCTATTTGGTCTGGTTTCTTTGTATTTTTATAACTATCCAAATCTGGTCTGGTCTGAACTGGTCTGGGAGGAATTACAGTCCAAGTAAAAATACCGTACAAAACCTTAGATGATTGAGCTTAATACCTGCAAGAGTCTAGAGGGCAATCAAAAACCATCCGTGTCTCAGTGCACTTTGAACATACGTCTATGTCGATTGATTGATGATCACCATCATCGTCTTCTCCGATCCTTGAATGGTTTCTTCGTTTGTGGTACAAGTTTCTCATGTTCTGGTTTTCCTGGTTTTGTCCCAGTAGATTGCAGAGTATGGACAGGTTTTCCTTATTCATATTGTAGATGCCACTTAGTTTTATGCTCTTCAATCGGTGACTACCCTTTGCAAGTAGTTGCACTGCCTTAATGACTCCCCCGGGTGTTATCAGGGTGCATCCAGGTATGTAAAGCTGCAAATAAGAGAAATTGCCCAATATAGGATTAAACATAAACATAATAATTGCATAAATAGGAGTAAAATTTAAAACTTCCTTCAGTAGGAGTAAACATTAATTTTGTACCCTTAATATACCTAACCTAATTAATTCTAAAATATGACTTATTTGATCCTATTAAAAAACAAATCTAAGTTCATTCACTGGAAACGATACCTTTATGCAGGCCATCTAATTTAAAAAATAATCTAAGGTCATCCCAACAATATTAAAATATAAAAAATTAAAAAAGTTATTTTTGTACATATTATGAAGGTCCAAAATAAACTCCACACTTCTGAATATAATCATGTGTATATATTGATAAATGTAATTTAAGTACTACGTTATATTTTAGAAAAAAAAATTAAACTTAAATTCACACTTTCCTTTTTGGGTATGTCCAAAATAAACTTCACACTTCTATTTTTGACAACTTTTTAATACTTCGTATAAAGTTACTCTTATACGTACCTTACATTACTACTTACTTTACATCCTCTTTCTCTCTCTCATTACACTTTATCTACTTTTTTAGGGGCATAATGAGAAAGTCAAAACAACATTTTCCGCTCTCTTAAAAATCGTGAAGTCAAACAATGAAGTTCTTTTGCGACCGGAGGGAGTACTAGGCTTTTGCCATTACCTAATGCATTAGCACCCTATTATTGTAACAATGTATCCTTGCATCGTCTGTAAACTTAAATATGGACTCTGTTGATATGAAAATATTGTATACACAGTTACACACAATTAATAATGTTTCCCCAACATTTCATATCATCAGTAAAATGCACTCATCATATTTTTTTACATATCTATTTAGTAAAAATTAATTAAATTATTATAAGCAATATTTTTCTTTGATTTCTTTTCTGAATAATTATGAAATAAAAAATACATTTCGATACAACAACAACAACATCCAAGGCTTAATCCCAAAAGAATTTGGGGTCGGCTAACATGAATCGATCAATGATATCGATGTTAAAAAATATTAATTACATTATTTTTTTTTTGCTCGGTTAATAAAAAATAAAATGAGTTTATGTAAAGTTTGATTATTTGTGGAGTCACCGTAAATTAAAAATTTGTGTTTCGCGTTGTTTTGGGACTAACAACTACAATCTTTTCTTTTTAACATCTTTTCAGTCACTAAAAGCTACTCCCTCTGTCCCGAATTGAATTGCAAACTTTGACCAGCATAAGGATTAAGGAATGAAAATAAATGATGCTTGCCTTTTACATTTTTGTCCATCTTTCTAAAATTAGATGCTTTTAAGTTAATGGGAAAAAAGTAAAAGTAAAGGTAAATTTGTCACTTTATTCTTATTTACATATCTAAAATAGAAAGTGGAAGAGCTATATCCCCTCTAAATTTTCTTTCATTGCTTGGCTTGCCTTCCGGGGCCGGTTAGCCACGTATGATAAATTGGGGTATCTTGATGTTGTTAATGTTTGCCCATTTTGTAAGGGTGGACCAGAAACGGTATCACACCTATATTTTGAGTGTACTTTTACAGGACAGATTTGGAGATTGGTGCGCGATTGGCTTGGACTCTTTAGGCAGATGACAACACTTCAAAGTGCAATCAAGTGGATAAAAAAGGAGCACCATGGAGCACATGCAAAGGCCAAAGCCGTGAGGTTATCATTTTGCTACACTACATATTGGATCTGGCGTGTAAGAAACATATATATATTTACAGTTTGTCCAAAAAAAAATAGAAAGTGGAAAAACATTTTGGGACAACCAAAGTAGGAAATTTTGCAAATCAAATTGGGACGGAGGGAGTATCAATTACTAAAAACTAAAAAAAACTATTATCTTTGCAGGTAATTGTGCAAAGTGAAGCATAACCCCACAATGACAATCAAATTATTTGCCAAACAACGAATAATACTCCCTACATATTAAAAAAGTTTCAGAGCTTTTTACGTATGTTAAGATAATATATAAATTTAAAATGAGGATATAATACACTTATTTTGATACCGTTCGAAAAAGAAAATAAGACACTTATTTTGGGATATAGTTTAATTTTGAAAGAATCTAAAAGCAAATAGGGAGGGAGTAGGTATTATTTTGGGTACCTTATTGATATTAGGATTTTTAGCTATGACCCGTAGAAGGCCGTAATCGGTGATCTTGAAACAATTGAAGAGAGCCAGTGTTGTCAGCCGACCATCCTCGGCGGCCGCGATCTTTAACATGATTTCATCTGTAAGCCGTCGATCTAACGGCTTCTTTACGACGATCCGCCATGGAAGAACGTCACAATTGACGGCTTCTGCGAGTGAGCGACAAACTTGAGTCATGCATAATAGTTCGAACAGAGGGAGATAAGCCAAGACAAGGAACATGGCCTCATGAGGTGGTCCTAAGGGAACCAAGGTTGTTCCTTTTTGGTCTTCTTCACTCTCCAATCCTAAACCGCTCTTCATAGTCTTGATTTTCCTTTTGACGAACATTGGGATTTTAATTTTTGTTTAAGGTTATTATTTTTATGTCACTCAAAATGTATACAACCTTGTCCATGAAGATAAGGTCTACTCTCACAAACCACACATCCATGTTTAATATACCCCAAATATACCCCCAAAATAGACCTCAAATAGAGGTGGGGACAAAAAAATGCCATGTATATACATTTTTATAAGCAATAAAACATACAATGAAATTTGAAGTTTTGTTTTCTCAATATAAATTCTGTTACGACTCTCTCACCTGTCGTTCCTGTATCCGCCACTAAACCCAAACTTAGTTCATACAATCATACTCAGTACTAAAGCTTATTTAAATGAGTACTACCCCCATCCAGTAACCACTACTAGAAAATTGGTCTATACTGACACTAAATAAGTGTTACAGAAAATTTTACTGACACTAGAAAAGTGTCATAGAAGGTCGGGAATTTTGACACTAACCACCGATAAAGTGTCACTAATTTATGAAATTGATGTATCATAAAAATTTATGATAAAATAATATCACTTTACATTTTGACACCTTAGTATCAATTATATTTATGATGCATTGGTATCACATAATGTTGATTATATGTAAATGTTTTATATATATAATTATATACACATGAAATATAAGATTATTACTTGAAAAATAAAAATGACAATGTATGCAAAATCAAAAGGCGCTTCTTTATTGAAAAAAAAAAGATTATCATTTACAATTCAAGTGTCATACACATTCTAACACAAACTCAACTAAATCTATAATTGACTAATTTGAAATCCTCCGATTGCTTTAAGTTTCACCTATGACTAAATCAGTTGATCTTCAACATGACCATATTGCTTCCTCTTTGTTGGTGGCTTTTCAATATCTGAAAGAAATAAAATCAAGATATATAAGATAGCTACAATGAATAATGTTTATGTGAGAACGCCAAAATATTGTTGCTAAAAAATAACCTCTAGTGGTAGATGAACTTCAAATAACATTGATATAGATTTCCGTTTATGCTGGTACTAAGTAGATATAGAATATAAATGTCTATTTCTCATTCTCAATCTTCTCACCGTAAAGAGAAGTAGTTCTGTACGTGGAGAACATATCTTTGAAATGGAATCATACAAATCACAGCATTCACTAACTACAACTTTACTATTCAATACTTTGTACTAACTGA